CACATGATATTAAAGCAATGATATAAAACAGAAAAATCATTTATCCACTTAGAAGTTTTGCTAAAAAATAGGCAATCTAATTTTTTAAAGTAACAGAGAGTAATGCTAGTAGTAATGTTAAAAAGCAAGCCATAATTTTCACCCTGCAAATCAGTGGATGACATCCCCACATCATAAGAGATCAAGAAAGAAGTTAGCATTTCTCTCCCACTTATTTCTCCTTAACACATGTAAATCACTAGGTTATTTCTCATCATAATTCTCACCATGCTGGTTGATGATTTGTATCATTTTATGAAATGTGAAATAGTGACTTATTTTTTTGCAGCCAATTGATTTTGAGCTTGAACTGAAAAAAGAGCTAGTATTTAGAAACGCCCATCTGGAATATCATTTTCTGTAAGGCATTATTTGAGGCCCTTTTTGATATGAGTACTCATGTTTTAGTTATTTTACATTTGGGAACACATTTTTTTCATAGCTAAGGCTGGTAATCCTCTAGGCAGAATTAACTGAATTGCTTTGCTACGTGCAAGTGTCCAGGAAGAGTAATTACTATATATTTAACCCCTCTGTTTCAACAAAGTTTCTGGTTGGATCTATCTTGAATTTTAAGCTTTTGGCTTTTTTGACTCCTTTTTCGTCTTGGCTAGCATTAAGACAGAGATGTTACCTTATCTCTACTAATGTCCATCGGCGCTGTATCTCTGTATAGAGCTCCTAAACACGTTTTTCTAGCAAGAAAGCAGAAATTATGCCTTTGCTTGTTTTATCCTGTGGGTTACAGTCAGTCTTCACGGAGCAAACCATATTACATAATGGTGTGCTCGTATAGATGCGCTTGCTGGTATAACTGCCTCTTTTTGGCACATTATTGCTTGGCTTTAATTTCATTTTCAACAGTCTTTATTCTCATGATGAGTATCTGAGATTTCTGGGTCTTAAAAAAATAACAAACTTGTGAATAACATCTTGTTGCACCATTCTGGCCTCCATAGTCATTTCACCAAGGCCCATGGTTATTTAAATGTTCTTTATAATTATCTTCACCTTGACTTAACTAATAGTCAACAGTAATTTTTCAGGATTTTTTGTTGTTTCTATCTACACATATATACAGATGTATCGGATTTACTTTGAGAGGTTATTTGGTTGTGGCAAGTGAGTAGTTTAGCTGGTGAGTGTTCACAGTTAAGAGTAGCTGTAATGACCTCTGGCAGATGTCACTGATTACTTGTGAGACAGAATTTTTCCACCTCAATCCATCTTCATTTATGTCCTTGGTCATCGCAAATAAAGTTTATCTTATTTCTGCAGCCAAGGAGATTTTTTTTTCCCAAGAGCAGGATAAATTTCATGGAAATGTTTCAGTATTTACAAGACTATTTTTTCCCCCTTTGCAAAAATGTCTAAAATTTTGTAGACATCCTTAAGCCTGTGTGTCTGCAAAGATGACATTTATAATTACTCATCCAGTTGCAGAATTCCATTAAGAAGGTATAGTTACAAGAATGGACAGGAGATTTAGCGTATCACCTGTTATCTGCCAGGTGGCAGCAGCTGACCCACATTTGGAGAGATTCAACCAAAAGGGCCACCCACACACAGCATCAAAGAACGTTGCTCACAGAAAACAAAATGCTCGAATATCAATATAAAATAGCAAACACTGAAGCAGACCTGGACAAGACTTCTGATTCACTGTGTAGACAAAACAGGGGTGGGGACAAGATGGTCAGCTCAATTATCCAAGATACTGCTGAGTTCAGTGTATTATCATCACAAAGGGAAATTCACAGGCTTCATTTCTCAAATACCGTTTAGGACAAAGCAGGAGAGAGTAAACAGTATCATCTCCATGGCAGCATCGTAGCCGATTAGTAAATCAGACAGGAAGAGGCCCACACAAGGCTACAAGTGCCCAAGTGTCAGTAAAAACACATATACATATATGCAAACCTTATCCTAATGTATTGTTTTTCTTTATACTGATTCTTAAAAAGTAGACAAGAGATGTGCTGAATTATCTGGTACTAGAAATGGACCACTTTTTTAACACTTGCACAATATGTAGGAGGAATAGAAGATAATTTCTCACATTTTGGCAGCAAAACAGTAACAGTGGATACAGCAAAGGCCAAACAATTTACATTAACAGCATACTCATATATATCCTCTGTAAACAAAGTGTAAAGTCACAGGATATTATATTCTTCATGTGGTATATACAGGTATTCTCAGAATGATGGGAACTCCTGGAAATGAGAGAAATAACATTAGAATAAGCTAGGAACAATAAAACCTCAGTACTCTCAGGATGCAACCAAAAGTCATTTCCTTCTTCCGTTTTCTACTTGAAAATGACAAGCTCCTATTAGAGATTTGGTCCCCAAATTCAGCCTCTAGGGTATATGTTACACATGCATATTCACTACAGTTTGTTTAAATTTTGAGATGTAAGCTATAACGTGAAGAATACTGGTATCCAAAGTACCAATTATCAGACAATTCTGAAGATTAAGAAGTCATCAAAAATCAAATTATATCGACATAGCTGAACTTGTCAAGGTAGGAAAACACACTAATATATTTTATAAATATTCATTTTGGACGCAAACAAAAAGGATTCTCCAACCTAACAAAATGTTCAACTTATGCCATTGGTCCAAAACATAAACATAGAGCAGTTGGTCTGTGGCACCAAAGCCAGTAATCCAGAAGGACATAATTAGAAAAGCACCGAACATAAACATATGACAGCTCAAGCGGTGCCATTTTTCTTGTGGTCATTAAAATAGAAAAATCGACATTTAAATTAAAAATTCTAGTATTCACTGGGTAAGCCATAAAGCCTCTTAACATTGTAAATATTTCATTATCTTCCAGACACTGTGCTCTAATTCATCTCTCTTATACTACTTGCTTAAGAAATATTTTATATTTCCTCCATATATCTCAATGATTAAAAAACATTTTTTTAATTTTCTTTTTAACGTTTTATTTATTTTTGAGACAGAGAGAGACAGAGCATGAACGGGGGAGGGTCAGAGAGAGGGAGACACAGAATCTGAAACAGGCTCCCGGCTCTGAGCTGTCAGCAGAGAGTCCGACGCGGGGCTCGAACTCATGGACCTCGAGATCATGACCTGAGCCGAAGTCGGACGCTTAACCGACTGAGCCACCCAGGCACCCCTGATTAAAAAACATTTAAAAGGAACAGAACATCTAAAAGAAATTAAGGCCAAAAACAATTTTCAACCTGCTTTGTCATGCAGCCAGGCTAAGAAATAGCCCAACAAATTCAAAGAATCTGCTATGAAAGCTGTTTTCCACTTCCATTTTGTTGAACCAACCTAAGGAGTCACGAATGATGTGCTGCATGTCAATGTTGTGTCACAGATCGAAGTGAGGGAAAATTTTCAGGTTGAGGTTTTATGGTGTGAGTACTTGGAGTGTCATAAAGCAAAAGCATGGCTTGTCTTCAGGAGGCTTCATTATTTACCCACTCGGTGGTCTTTTCATTACTGTTTTGAAAAGCTGTTGCTTCTTTAAGATTCAATACACAACTAAACGAGAAAAGTTTTATACTATTTTGTGACAAGCTCTAGAGTGTGGCAGAAGTAAAGGTGAAAAGTAAAAAAAAAAAAATAAATAAAGATTAAGAAGGAAAGGCTAGTTCTAGTACCAAAGAAAACCAAAGTTACTAAATCAGATCTTAGGTTTTACTATGAGAGGCACACCGCAACGCTACATTTAGTTTTAAGTAACTTAATGTGATTTTCTTTTAATTTAATGTGCGACAAAGGTCTACAACTCTCTTAGGCCTCTGCCTCATTTTTAACTTGAGCTATTTACAATTTATAAGGTTACATTTATAATTTATAAATGTATAATTATACATTTCTAATTTCAGTATTTCTAATTCACGTGGTTACTCTAACCTCATAAGAATAAATATTACTACCAGATGCGAAATTCTTCCTTTCCCCCTATTTTAATGCAGGAACAGCCTGTTCTGGCCCCTACACAGCCGAGGATTACCTGAGGCCCACCCATCTGGAGCGGGCGCTGCTGACAGCTGCTGCTGTGTACACAGGGTGTTCTCTGTGTGTACACAGCACGTATGCCAACGTGTGAGGGAGACAGGCAGTGAGGAAGGGGTAGGAGGGACACGACACCCTGGCAAAAGCATCTCCAACAGAAGCCACACGAACACTGCTACAAACGGGTATTCGAGGCCAAAGAGAGAGTTTTAGACTACATCTCTGATCCTTAACAGTAATTTGATTGATAATCTGATGGCAATTTCTACTGTAGGTAGTATTCTTAATAGGGGCCAGTTGGTAAGAAATGGGAAAATGTGCCTAATTAAAAAATTCAAAGGGTGGCTCCAAATGTAACCACTGTGATTTTACCATTCTTAGGCTCTAAGAGTACCGGGGCTGCAGTCCATTTATGCAGTTGTCATCTACAGTCCTATTGCTTTCAAAGAAACCAGGGGCTATTTACTAATTTGGGTTGTGCTCCGTTTAGCATGTGGTGTTAAAGCTCAGGCACAAAAGATTTTTCCCTACATGCTCAGAATCTGCAAAAGAGAATTAACAAAAATAGAAGCCAAAACAGAGGTTTTGAGTTTGCTGCACAAACGCCATTTATGCGTCACCAGAGAGAGAGAATACATGGATAGACGCTCTTTTCTGGCTCATCGAGGGGAATGAGCTCAGAGAAGGCAACCAGGGAGCACCCCTTCCACGTTTAACAATCTGACTTTCTAAATGCAAGGTGGAGACGAGCAATCTCTCTACATGAATCTAGGAGGGGAAACTTTTCCAGGGCCCTGCCTCATCTCCCTTTTCCGCACCCCTCCAACTCTCAAGCCACTACTGGTCATCCCAGCCCAGTGCCCTGCAAGACACTCACGGGTACAAATGAAAACCTCCTCTTCTGGAGGCAGGTGAGCACCAAGCTCAAACAGGTGCCTATGGTTTCAAAATCTATAGCCCACTGGAAGCTCAAACCAGGTTTTAGTAAGGGCCTCTTTTTTTTTTTTTTTTTTTTTTTACTAGGTTTGAAGGATGAGACACAATGGTGTTTCTGTTAAAATCAGTAAGTTGACAGAGGCTACCTTTTTACTACAGATGAGAAATTTAAGCAACTAGATGATATTAGTCTACCTACAAAAACATGAGGAAGTTTGTGTTCTATTTGGTGTTCACTACATTTTCTATTAGAAGCTACTGCACAAGCAAGTCAAAAGGAAAACACAAACTGCATCCTGTTTATAGGAGTTGAAATTAGACCCATTGCTTTTGTTACTTCCTTTTTTTGACACAGAAAAGGTTTCAACACAGAAACCTTAACACACTCAGCAGAATGTTTTTGGAGAACACCTGTACTACATAAACTTTAGTATACTTAATAACTTGATGACTCTTTCCAAGAATTCAGTTGCATGTACTTCCTCTAAAGAAATAAGAATTTCATCTCGTCAGAATCATAGAGGTGCCCCTTGCCTTCAGTGCAGGAAAATCTGTAGATATAAATTCAAGTTTTATGTGGGCAGTATTCATATTCAAAAGCTCAGCTAATTTTCCTAACATAACTTTCTTACATTTATTGACGATATAACAAGGTTTACCAAAACAGTTATCTGCAGATGTTGACAAATATTAATTCATTTGGTATTGTATGCATTTAAATGCTTTTCCTTAATGTCATCTGGCTGAAGAGCAAGTTGAATTTATTTCACAGTTTTACATTATAGTTCTTATCGTCTACTTAAATTCTGTGTGGTAATAGCATTCTTATTGCAATATGACTAGAAAGTATAACAGTATTTTTGCTAGTTTTAATATTAAGCAGGGATTTTAGTGGAAACGCCACAGTGTGATATGTCGAGGCAGTAATACAAAGTGACACGTATTTAATGATAGTGCTAGTTCTATAAGTAACATCATATTAAAAAATCCAGTGAATGTTACTTCCTCTTAATTAGGGTCATTAACCTTCAGTGGAGCTTTCTTCTTTTCTTTTGTTCTTTCTTTCAAATTGAAATGATATTTTTATTTATGGAGCCCCAATCAAAGGACCCAACAATTCTTAATAGCAACTTCCAATAGTTGATTCTTGCTTGTCTTCCTGGTCTCTCCAAAAAAACCAAAAAACAAAAACAAAAAACAAAAACTAAGTAAGCTTTGACAAATAGAGACACTTAGGAATACCATAAATATACACAAGGGTTCCCATACACATTCTCTTTCAGTCTAGCACAGAAGAAGGGGCAGGACGAACACAGCAGTTGGGGCGTCGAAAGTTCTGCAGCATGGACTGTAAAACACTGTGCTGCCTTCCTTTGAGCTTTTTATTTGAAGAAGTATCTGAGGAAATGGATCTCCGGGTCTGGCTGTTTTGAGCTTTGATTAATTTCTCATGTTCCCTGATTTGTCTTTGTAGATGGTTCTGGATTGCGATACCCAGGGACTCTGGGTCCAGGGAGGCACCATACACTTCCCAGGTCATGCCCTGCTCATCCCACACGACGTCCCTGACACGCTTGGACTGTTTCAACTGCAGCTTGGAGTCGGCGCCCAGCTGCTTTTTCTTCTCTCCTGGGGTGAGTCCCACCTGGGCGGCAGCCGCGGTCACATTTAACTTTTGCTCCTTGAGGAACTCGCTGACTCGGCTGGCCCGCCGTGGGCTGGCTTTGACCAGGCGAGAAGGGGTCCTCTTGCCAGAACCTGGACTGGAGTCACCCATGGAATCGGATGGGAGGCTCAGGCTGGTGGCTGTCTTGGTCTGTCTATTTTCCTCCAGCGAACCCTCCTGGTTCTTCCTCACTGGGGAGGGCGTAGGACTAGCAGCTGACCCAGTGCCTCCACTTTCTTGAGATTTAGGATTGAGCAGCAGGGTTTTGGCCTCTGCCCTGGCCCCGGCATCAAGGATACCGGTGCCTCTACATTCTTGTTTTACTATCTGAGGAGATGCTGGCTGCTTCTCTCTTGCATCTCCTTTGTCAGTGGGATCTAGGCTCCCGGGCTGGTCGGCTTTGTTGGCAGGACCACAAGAGTCAGAGAGTTGGCAGTCTGGGTTTGTTTCGTGACCATCTGTGGTTTTCACTGCAAACTCAGACAGCTTGGTTTCAACTTTCCTCAATTCATGATTTGTTTCGGTTTGACTTCCCGCACTGAAAGAAATCTGGTCAGTGGGGCTGGCTTTCAGGGACCTAGAAGTCACACCTGAAAGCTGTTTAGAGGTGGGCTCTTCCCTTGCTGGGGTCATTCCCGCAGACCCTGTATCTTCCTTACACAGATCCTGAGTATTACCGGATGCCACGGTGATGGATGAGATCTTAAGGACCTCCCTCGGTAAGCTCACCAATTTGCATTCCCCTTGGAGAGCTGTGGAAACAGCGGCAGCTGCCTGGATGTGCACTTCTGGCATGATGCCGGGGCACGGACCTGACCCTTGGGGGGAGTGGATGTTGTCAGATAGCTCCAGCATGTGGCTCCCACTGCCGCTGCCATTGCAAATGACATGCAGCTGCTCTTGTTCCAAACGCTCAGGAATTGGGGTGTCCTTTAAGAATGCAGCGAGGATGCTGGGGCTGGTGGAGACCGATCTGCTCTCCACACTTGCCACTGCCTGCACCCCAGCATCTTGCCGAGCCCTGTCGGGAGCTTCCGTGACCTCACTTGCAGCTTCGTTGGTCATTGTACTTGCTTCTTTGAACCTTGACACCTGATCTGGAGGACGTGTGGAGACTTTGCTAGTGAGGTGGGGTGGTTGAGGTGTCACAGAAGTCACAGACTGGCTGTCTGAGGTGGTGGCTGAGGGCTGTTTGTTCCCTGAACATCCTTCTTTCGCGGGAGAGTCACAGGACCTTGTCTGGGAGTCGCATATGGCTCCTGGCCTTGCTCCTTTGGGTTGGCCTACAGGAGACGAGGAGTGACTGAACACCTTGGCTGCTGTATTTGCAGTCTGCAGCATTCCCTGGATTGTTTTTTGAGAAGAAAAATCACAGGGCACTTGGTCTTTGCTGTTGCTCTGGGTGCTTCCCACAGGGCAATGTGACTTTTCAGGTTTTTCAAGAATCTCCCCATCCGAGGTTCTCTGTGTTTTCAGCAGAGTATCTTCAGGTCCTGATAAGGAGCTGGCATTGAGCTGGTCACTTGGGGTCGCCTGGTGGGTGTGTTGGTTGGCTGGCATTGTAAATGCTTCATCTATGAGATCCTTTCCTGCTGCAGAACATGGGGCTGGTGCTGTGGGCTCACTGCTTCCTGGCAGCTGGGTATTGTCAGAACTGCATGGAGGAGACACTTTTTCCACCTCATTGAAGACACCAGGAGAAGACATGTCTGGCTGGGTGGTCTCATGCTCAAACGCCTGCATCAGGACCTCAGCAGCTGCACTGGGGCTGAGGTCTGGCTCTGCAGGAGTGCTGGAAAGGCCATTGGTGTTCTCACACAAGACGGCTGGTGGAGACCGAGGGGAGGCAGGCTGCACTTCTCCTAAATCCTCTTCTTTTCCAGAAGCTGTGATCAAGGAAGTTTTAGCTGATCTCAAAGGGTCAGGTACAGTCCCCATGGAATTCTTCTTCAGGAAATCCTCAGTGCTCTCCCCGGAACAGTGTTCCACCTGGGAAGCAGTTTTAGCTCAGTGTAGGGACGGAGTCAGGGACGATTCCTCTGAAGGATCAATCTGTGAATCAAGGAAATAGTATGATTAACCCGGTACAGCATTTAGGGGTTGAAAATACAGCAAACTAATTTGTACAAGATCTTATAAGCACACTAAACCTTTTCCTCACGTATTCGTTGCTATAAAACATAGATCTTGGGAAGAAAGACTTTGAAAAAAATATTTTAATTATACAAGTATTATTTGGTACATTAGTTTCTGCTTGCATCCCATTTCTGTCTGCAAATAGGTTTTTAATGTATTTACCTAAGCATTTGATAACTACCCAAAAGTCATTTGTGTAGTCTGATTTACCAGATATCCGAAAATCCTATAAAGCTACTGTAATCAAATCAGTAAGTATTGAAATAGGCCTAAACAGATACGTGAAATAGAATATCTAGAAATAGATCCACATATAAATGAAGATTTAATATATGACAAGAGAGGCATTTCAATTTAGTGGCAAAATGATGGATTATTTAATATAAGGAGCTGGCAAACTGTTTATGCATCTGGAAGAAAGTAAAGCTAGATCTTTATCTTATACCAACTCCAAAAATAAATCCTAGATGGATTTAGATAGATTAAAGGTTAGGGGCGCCTGGGTGGTGCAGTCGGTTAAGCGTCCGACTTCAGCCGGGTCACGATCTCGCGGTCCGTGGGTTCGAGCCCCGCGTCAGGCTCTGGGCTGATGGCTCAGAGCCTGGAGCCTGTTTCCGATTCTGTGTCTCCCTCTCTCTCTGCCCCTCCCCTGTTCATGCTCTGTCTCTCTCTGTCCCAAAAATAAATAAACGTTGAAAAAAAAAAAGAAAAAAAATAGACAGATTAAAGGTTAAAAATGTAAAATAAGTAATTAAATAAATAAAGTCCTGTAAGAAAATCTAGGAACCATAAATATAATCTAGGGGCAGAGAGGGTAGGCTTCTCTTGGCAAGGGAGAAAACACACAAACTAAGAAAAACATAAGGGATTGAATAAAACCCAAAAGTTTTGTATGGCAAAAGATACCATAAACAAATACAATAGATTTGAAAAACAAATATTTAAAATCCTAGAGGACAGGTAAAAATATCTATCGTACAGCAGAAGCTCTTAAAAATTTTCAGGGACAGAAAATAGGTCTTTAGAAAAATGGACGCAGAACATGAAAATGCAGCCTGCAACATAGGAAACATGACAGTCAACAAGCTTTTGGAAAAATGATCAAATTCATCTGTAGTCAAAGAAAATGCAAATAAAGTAACAACGAGATTGTAGTTTACAATACTTCCACCTGCAAAAACTTTTTTTAAAAAGAGCTGTAACATTATGGCCTGGGGAGACCTAGCGAAAGGAAGTATTTTTATTAATTGTAGGTGCATATTGTGTATTGTGACAGCTTTCTTAGGGAAGCAGTTTAGTTTTTAAAGCTAAAAATACACATGTCCTCGACTCTGTGATCCTAACTCTATCAACAGATGTAAAATACCAGCATATATAGATAGGGATACAAGTATGTTTACTGAAGTACTATTTGTAGGGGCAGAAAAACTGGATGTAAACTGATTTCCATCAAAAGGGGGAGTAGTAGAATAGATCAAGACATATCTCTACTGTAGAGCATAATGCAACCATCAAAATAAACAGTTAATTGGGCTGTAACTTTTCAATTGGGAGGGATTTCTCCAAGGTATGGCTGAGTGAGAAAAGCAAGGTAGAGAAAAGAATATATACATTTTCCTTTTGTGAAACAGTGACCTAAAACACACAGTGACCTAAACACACAATGACCTAAAACAGACTGTGTATGTGTACAGATGTTTGTATATCATTATATAAATTCTAAAAATATTTAGACTGAGACATATTAGGTCTTAAATGGAGGGAATGTGAGGAGTAGAAGACAGTAAAAGAGAGATGGAGGTACTGAAAGGTGGGAAAAAACTTAATTTTTTAAATCTGAATTTTATTTACTTATATTTTTATTTGAGAGAGAGAGAGAGAGAGAGCGAGCAAGCATGGGAGGGAGGGGCAAAGGGAGAGCAAGAGAATCTTAAGCAGTCTGCATGCTCAGTGTGGAGTCTGACACAGGGCTCTACCCCATGACCCCTAGGATCATGACCTGAGCCGAAATCAAGAGATGGATGTTCAATAGACTGAGCCACCCAGGCGCCCCTTCCCATCCTTGGTCTTGACTGTTTTCTGCTAAAACCCTTTGTCCAGGTATATATTCCATTTCTTCCTTATTGGAGTTTTCAGTTGCAGTCACTTACTGGGCACCAAGCCTGTCTTCCCCTCTGCCCCTTTCTCATCTGCCTTTATTATGCCTTTCCTCCCACTCTCTGCCCTCCTCATCCTCAAAAAGCCTACCCATTCTTCAAGGCTACACTTAAATCTCATTTCCTTTCTGAAGGCCTCTAAAGCTTCCAAGTCATAAAGTCTTTCTCTCTTTTAAAAATCGTACAGCTGTGGTCATCTGGGTCCTTCTCATGTGCTGTTTTTGTACCTTTGTTACTCGTGTAAATGTCTTATTTCTCCAAAAGTACTTCAAGTTCCAGGAGGGAAGGGGACAAGCATATTGATTCTTTTCTCTTTACTCCACAGGAGACAGTGCAAAGTCTTGTGCATAAAAAGGTGTTAATTGATCCCAACTTCCCTCCCAAATGGCTATTATTAAAGCCTTGCCAAACTTCAAAATAATAGGAAATGTTAACCCATGACATGGAATATTAATCAAAACACACAATTTAAAAGACTGCTATTTTTAAAAGTAAAAAACAGGTTGTATCTTATTTATGAAACTTTATCTGTAATTCAGTGTTAGGCAATTAAAAACAAGTACATTGGACACCAGCTACAAAAGCGGGAAGGTTTCATAAAGCCAGGAGTATAGAACATCCCTGTGTTATATAGCTGGAGCCAAGAAATCTGGTTTGCAAAGAGGACTGTGAAATATAAGCAGCTCAAAGTTCAGCAACTGAAGCTGAAAGACTTAGAAAAAGACGACATTTCATAAAGCTCTCAGAATTCGCTGTGTTTACTTCCATTTTCCACAGATACCTAGTTGATTATACTAGTTTAACTTTAAAAGGTGTTTCCTTTTGTTTACTTTGTTAATAGAGGCAAAATCCATCAATTCAAGAATCAAGAAGAAAGGGGCCCCTGGGAGGCTCAGCAGATTGAGTCCGATTCTTGATTTTGCCTCAGGTCATGGTCTCCAGGTTCCTCAGACTGAGCCCCAAGTAGGACTCTGTGCTGACAGTGTGGAGTCTGCTTGGGATTCTCTCTCCCTCTTATTTGTGTTTTTTTCCCCTCTCTCTCAAAATAAATACACTTAAAAAAAAAAAAAAGAATCAAGAAGAAAAAACAGATTCTTGGCTCATACTTGTGATCTGAAACTCTTGATTCATGGATAGATAGGAAATCAAGACTTTTCTCAATCATATCTGCTAAAGTAATTGTTACAGCATCTCCATGTGTCCAGGAATATTTTCCGCTCCCCTCTCCAACTAGAAGCAGAAATCTATAGTCTCCAATAGGTTAGACAGATAGGGTATTTTAAAAGTGTAATTACTTGGTGGTTTAGAGTGGGGAGTGTATGTCTTTAAAATCAAGCTGAGTCCATTATGATAAGATTTAATAACCTCTACAAATGAAATTGCTAACAGGTAGTCCACAGACTGAATGAATCCCTGCAGGCGTGTGCATGCATATGTGTGTGCGTGTGTGTGAGAGAGAGAGAGAGAGAGAGAGAACTGCATGGTTTCCCCTTCTCTTCTCTCCCTTTCTTCCCCCTCCTCTCTTTCCTCCTTCCCCCTTCCTTTTCCTTTCTTTTTTTGTTTTATGAATTGAAGAGATCTTTCATAAAAAGCCAGATTTCCCTCTTTCTGTTAATTTTTAAAAACTCAGAAGGTATGCATTTCTAGGCAGCAACCACCACGTAGTGATGATGAGGGCTGGCTACCTTGTTGAGCATGGACTTTCCACATGGCCCATTCCCCATGACCTTGCTTTCCTGGTTTGTTATTACTTACCTGGGCTTGTGTGGGCAGTCAAATTTGAGAACTTTGGTCTAAGAATACTGACAGAGTAGACGTCCCAACCTAATTTTTAGTCCTCTGAGAGCAGTTCAGCATTGTCTTTAAGAACATGGACCCTGGGCCAGATTTCTTGGATTATAGTATCAGTTCCACTAGCTAACTCTAACTCTGTGTGCTTGGGCAAGTTCACTTAACCGCTCAAGGAACCCATTTCATCTATAAATTGAGGATAATAATCATGGTACTGCCTCAGTGGGATGTTGTGAGGAATAGATTTAACATTTAGAACAAACAACATCTTGGCATATATTAAACATCTTAGGAGTACTAGCTTCTTTGGAAAACCTTGATATTTAGGCTTTGATCTGTGTTAAAGAAAAAAACTATTCTGACACTTGTGAAAATGGTAAGGAAGACTTTACTTAGGACTATTGGGATATGTGTCAAGACTACTGCATAAAGAGAGAACGATCAAGTTCAACTCCAAATACAATTGCAGTAATAAGTGGGGATTTTTAACTAAAGAGCAGTTAAGGGGGGGCGTCAGTGGATAAAACATTACTGAGAGGAGAAATCAAAGGTACAGGGACTCTTGATGAATGCAGGCCAAGTGATCAGACACCAACTAGGGGATGGTGGGAGAGTGGGAAATTTAATCTGTTATTGAGGATATCAGATATTAAGGGTGGGAGGATTCTCTCTAAACTGGCTTAGCAGGATTCTTGCTAAAACTGGACTCTACAAGAACAGGCATGGAAGCCCAAGACTGAGGCCTAGTCAATAAGAGGGCTCAGAGGAGCCTGACTAAGGTTGGTCAAAGAGAGAGTCTTTGTCATATGCACTGGTGAATATGGATTTTCTTATAATATTCTCTGCAGCAATATGAATTCTTTCTGAATTGGCCATAAATTGCACAGGAGCAAATGGTATCTCTGATTGTGTCTTTTAGTTTGATAGGAACTAGATTCTTAGTAGCAGGTGTCTTTGGTCCTTCTGCCC